AAACTTGTCAGATTCAATATAAACTCAAATTTTGTTACTTTTAATAATGCAGATTTTGTCAAATCCAATAAAGGTCAATGGATGTTCTGTAAAAAAAAAAAAAAAAAAAAAACTGTGGCTTGGCTTTCAAGCAAAACACAGTGGTGCTCAGTCTGACTGCCTTCAGGCAGCCCGTGGCAGTTCTCAGTCTGACTGGGGCCGGTCCCTGCCTTTCCTATACTAGTATGGCTCTGCCAGACTGAAGTCCTAGGCTTTGACACTGGAGAAAACGTGTTTTCAGGAAGGTGAAATGAATCATTCATGACTGGCTCTCAGGAGGTGCCTAGTAAATACCGACTAAGAGGGCGGAGCCACGGCCTGCTGGTCAACCTAAGATTTGATGGACAGTAGGTATGGATTCCAAAAGAAAAAGAAGTGTATCTGAGTGAATTAGAGGGGTTATACCCACTCCCAAACAAAAACCATCCAGGGGGCCGGAGAGATGGCTCAGCTGCCCAAAGCACTGGGATGCGAGCCTGAGTTCCTGAGATCCACGCTCGGAACCCACGGTAGAGGAGAGGACAGAGCCCCCAAAGTTGACCTCTGACCTCCACACACACACTGTGATGCGAGCCTGAGATCCTGAGATCCACGCTCGGAACCCACGGTAGAGGAGAGGACAGACTCCCCAAAGTTGTCCTCTGACCTCCACACACACTCTGTGGTGCATCCAAGCCTGCACACAGACACATTTAAAATAAGAGCATTCACCATAGCCCAAGATGGACAGGAAGAACCAATAAATGCTGTGTCAGAGAAAGAACAACCAGAAACAAGTGGCACTAATCATATTAATATATGTAATTCAATACATTCGAAATACTACGAATGCCAACATGTAACCAATACATGTGTCTCTATAGTGAGGGTTAGGAACGTAGCATGAGGACCTGGGTTTAATCCCAAGAATTACAAAATAAATACAAATAAAGAAAACAGGAATATACGTGTTTTTATTTTACACTTCAGTGTATGTCAATCTTAACTCTAACTCTTCATCTGAAACACTTGATCTGCACTTAGACTTTCTGATTTTCATTCCTTAGTTGTGGCACATTCCAAAAAATTTTCAATAATTACATCAAATATGAGTCTTTAAATTAAAATTAAAGCTGGAGGATCAGAAGTTAAATGTCATCCGAGGTTACCTAGCAAGTTCAAATCAAACCTGGGAAACATGGCTATCCGCAAAATTTTTTAATTGAATGAAACTAAAAACTTAGTCCCTTAGCCGTCCTAACCACATCTCAAGCGCTCAGTACCTGCCTGTGACTAACACAGGCCGTTTACACAACACAGGCACGAAGGCACAGCTTAGTGTTGCCCAGCGAGGCCTGATTTGAGAGCCTTTGAGAGGTAGTTCTCCACTGTGGTCCTGGAATTAAACTTCCACCTTCTCTTCCAGACAGTCTCCCACTGAACCTGGAGCTTGCCTCGGGGATCTTCCTGCCTCTGCCTCCCAGGCACGGGATTACAGCCACATACCACCAGGGCCACCTAGGCGTGCCGGGAGTCCACGCTTACACGCAAACGCTTTACCAGCTGAACCATCTTCCCAGACCCGACCGTCACCACTTTTCTTCATCTCAGGAGCTTAAAATGATGTTTCCGTTTGCTTTTGCTTTTTACACTTTTTGATTATTGAAATCAAGAGTAACCTTTGAGATATGTAAAAATAACATAAATCAAATAGCCATATTCCTTTGCTAGTGTATTAATAGCCATATCTGTGTTTTTACTTCTTTTATAATAGTATTTCTATTCTTTGACAGTTTATACAATGACATAGTCAATTTCAGTTGTCAACTTGACATCCCTGAAATGATGGATCCTCAATTAAAGAAGTGGTTCCATTGGACTGCCCTGTGGGAATATCTGTGGGACATTTTTTTTTATTGTAATTGACATGGAAAGACTCAGGCCACTGTGAGCAGGTGAGCCTGGGCTGTATAAGAAAGGCAGCTGAGCAAGCTAGGGAAACAAGCTAATCCCTGGTCTCTACTTCAGTTCCAGCCTTGGCTTGCCTCAGAGATGGACTTCAGCCAGAAGCCAGATAAATTCTTTTCTCCCCAAGCTAGTTTTGGTCAGCGTTTTATCACAGCCAGGAAAGCAAACCAGGACAGACAGCATATCCTGTGTCCACATGTCCATCTAACACTGCCTCTCTCCTTAGTGCTACCACCACCTCCCTTCCAGCTTCATGTCCTCTTTTTATGTTTTATTAATAACCCTCTGAGTCCAGTTAGTGCTGTGGATATTCACATGAGTGTGTGGCCATGCACTGGGTCGTGTGCAACCTGCCAGCCACCCCGGCCCCCAAAGAAACTAACTGTGCCTCCTCAGCAGGCATCAACTGCCAATGACTTTCCTGATGGGGTGGGATTTCAACAGCCACAGCCCCCTCTTTGCTGGAAATTTTTCAGCATAATAGTTTTATTGATTATTTGGGAATTTCACATGATTCACCCTGATCACTCTTACTTCCCTATCCTCCCAGGTCCTCTCCCAACCCTTGCAACACCTGCCCCCCCCAAAAAAAAACAAACAGAAGTCCAATTTGTGTTTCTTATATACTCACTGGAGCATGGTGACACTCCCAGTGGCCAGCCCCTTACAGAAAACCAAGTCCTTCCCCACCTGCACCCTGCCAGAAGCCATCAGTTGTGGAGAGCTACACTCCAGCATCCCTGTCACAGTTTGTTTTGGTTTGAGACAGGGTTTCTCTGTGTAGCTCTGGCTGTCCTGGAACTCACTCTGTGCCTACACACGCCACAAGCATTCTGGATTCTGTAACCAGATGTAATGGGTTTGTATCTTGGTATGTGTGAAGCCAAAAAAGCATGACCAGGACACAAGAGTGGAGAATGGTCCATTTTCCAACACAAGTAAGAACAGCATGGCACTTGTTTCCAAAGCAATGTCCTTTTTCAATAAAGAAAGCATAGGGCTGTTATGAGGGAAGGTTATACAGATTCACACAGAAAACTGCTTGGGTGGTGGACACATTCCTGCATGTTCAGCTCAAGACATACAGTACTGGGAATGTTCAGTTAAAGACCATAGTTTAAAAAGAAAAGATGGCAGCTGGAGAGAAGACTTAGTGGTTAAGAATGCTGTGCAATCAGGAAGACGAGAGTTCAGATCCCAGCACCCACGTAACAAGTCAGACACTCACATGTGCCTATAACCCCAGCTCCAGGTAGGGCAGAGACAGAAGGGTTGCTGGGGCTTGCTGCTCCCAGACTTGCTGAGAAAATGAGTCCTGGGTTTAGGGAGAGACCTTGCTTCAAGGGAATAGATGAGGACAAAGACATACACATCCACACATCGTTTTCCCTTTATTTTGTGTTCTTGAAGCAAAGTCTCACTATGTACCACAGGCAAGGCTCAGATTTACAATCCTCCTGCCCCAGCTTCCCTAACTCAGGGATTACAAACACGTGTCTGCATACTGTATATTCTGTAACCTTCTACCTAGCTCCTCTATCAAGTCTTTCCGAAGCATTTAGCTTTGTGTTTTGAGGAACAACCCCCTGTTTCACTCACTGGCTGCCATAATATTTAACTGAATCATGTGATGCCATCAAGTAGCATATTCAGTATGGGAGTCCTTGAACTTTTGCTAGAAGTGTAGGTTGGTACAGAAAGACATTAGTGTCTAGAGGGTACTTTCAAGCTATCTGTATTCAGGCTTCAGCCTGTATACTGTGCAAACATAAAAGAACTAGTTGTGAGTCAGCTTACCGGAAGTCAGAACAGAGGTCTGTTGGTGAAGTCTATGTTTTTGTATACTTTCCCCTGGATGCCCTGTTATAGGAATGTCAGTGACATGAGAGGATGACACATTTGTCACATTTGCTGTAGGCAGCTCCTGGCACAGAGCCTGGCTCACTGTGCACACCATACATGATGAGTAGACATGAGACTCTCTGCAATCTCCAGGCTCTTTCCCTGCAGAGTGGTCACAAACGTGGGGCTCTTTAGCCCCCCTTTCAAAGTGTAAAAAGAAAGCTCTCACTTGCTTCTCTGTGCATGAGTTCCCGTACGTAAGTGCTGCAAGCTGAAAAAATATACAAAGTAGGATTTCAACCGATTATAACAAAGCTAATACCTGAAAGAAGCCAAGGGTCTTCCAGAGGTCAAGCTGAAGCTCAAGGAGC